ATATGTATATATGTATATATGTATGTATATATGTATATATGTATGTATGTATGTATATATGTATATATGTATGTATATATGTATATATGTATGTATATATGTATATATGTATGTATATATGTATATATGTATGTATATATGTATATATGTATGTATATATGTATATATGTATGTATATATGTATGTATATATGTATATATGTATATATGTATATATGTATGTATATATGTATATATGTATGTATTATTATTATTATTATTATTAAAAATTTTATTTCAATACGGTGGTTACATCAAAATCATATACAGCTTTGTTCTACCTGTAAGCCGTATATTATAGTTTGCAATATATATTAATTTAATTAATTAATGATCAGCGGAAAAATGGATATTTTTCAAAAAATCTTTGAACCGCTTTAATGAACTCTCTTTTTTCAAAACTTCAGGAAGAGAGTTCCACACTTTTGCGCCGGAGTAAACAAAACTTCTCTTGTAATATTCAGTTCGAATTAGTGGAAGTTCGACATTCTCTGTTGAAGAACGAAGATCATAAAAATTGGCACCACTTTCTGGTCTAAATAAACCTAAGAAACATGACGGTGCTTTATGGTTTAATATTTTATCCATCATCACTGCTTTGCATTTTTGTCTTCGTTCACTCAACTTCTCCCATCCTAATTCGTTTAATATATCACTGGACCTTCGCGAATAGTCGGCTCCAGTAATAATACGTGCGGCACGATTTTGAAGTTTTTGAAGCTTTAACGCCAAATAGTCACTGATGCCATCCCAAATTATACAACAGTAATCAAAATAAGGTTCTACAATAGCTCTATATACATTCATAAGATCGCACTTTTTCAAGACTTTTCTATTTCTACGTAGAAGACTAACGCCGATCGCTAATTTTTTAATTACATTATCTATGTGCTCAGCCCATGTGAGAAATTCGTCTATATAATATATGTATATATGTATATATATATATATATATATATATATATATATATATATATATATATATATATATATATATATATGCATATATATATATATATATATGCATATATATATGCATATATGCATTGCTACATTTAGTTTATGTGAATGTAGTTAATATACAATGTAGTTATAGTACAAACTTGTGCTAGGGGTACCATGTGATGACTATATATAGATCCAATCCAAGGGTAGTGGTATAGACTGTAATTCGTCTGGCACTATACGTCAGAGCCGTATAGGCGGATTTTCAAGTGTGTGGGGGGTGGAGGGGGAGGGATATGATGCGCACTGACTGACATTACTGAAATTTTTATGGTCGATAGACTAAACACATGTTTTGAATTTATCAAGTTTGCCGGTCTTCGAGTATTGCAGTCTTTTGTGTCCCCTCTGTCCAGTTGAGCTTGAACTGTGAGGGGGTATTTAGTACAGTAGTCTTCTTCACAAGCCATAGTCTTCTTCTCCTTCAGTAGCCGTAAGTAGTTAACTTTAATCAAATGAAATTGAATAATTTAGCTGTACTACCACGGCGAATCTATTGCTGTCAACGTTCACTTGACCAACAGATCATCAAAAACTGTGAAGAAAATTAAGATAACAGGTAAAGTAATCAAAACAGACTGGATTCTGATTGGAAATATTTGACACTTATAGGGTATGTACAGTACAAATAAGGATCCAGATTTCTATTTCTATGGAATTCGAACTTTATTAGAATATACTCTAGATTTAGTGACAGAAATATTATTTCAATATTGAAAACCGTATAGTAAAACATGCACTTAGCGTCAAAGATTAAAACATTTTGACATTTTAGCATCATAGCATCATTCTGACATTTTCTCCAACTTTCAGTTCGGCAACATGCAGACATATGTTTATTCTCGACTGCGCAATATAAATGCCCTGTGGCTACCCTGGATTGTGAAGATGGTTTTCCTGTTGGACCGAGTTGTAATTTATCAAAAGTTTATTCCTTAACACCTCTGTTGTCTAATAACAAGGTATCGTGTCGTATTTATAAAACGTTGGGAATATGGACATGAGAGCCGCTCAATCTAAAAAACAAAACTAAACGATGATACAGTACATATAAATTTAGTACATCCTTGCACGGACCTGCAGGCTTAATTGCATTTTTATAAAAAGGTAAATTACAGTGCAGTACGTTTTATCATAAGGCTTAGCAATGTTTTTTCTAAACTATTTTTATCAACGTTATTCAAACAAGTGACGTCTCATGTGTATGTCGTTCTATTTACCCAAACTTTCTATTGACTAGCAGCACAGAAGATCAATGAACTAGAGTACTTTCAACCTCTGGAGAAACCACCTCATATTTATTATTATTATACAACTAGATTTACCCCTTCAGCTAATGCCGTTATCCAAAGGGGGCGTGATGAGCGAATAAAAAGTATATCGTTCCAATGCTCGATAAGACTTTTGCATATTCCAGCTAATTTTCTCACGATATGAATGGACCATTTGCATTATAGACTAAATTTTGATCTAAACAAGTCTAGACAAAAATCATCGCAGCTTGAAAGAGCATCACCAAATTAGTAATATTCCAAAGTCTCGTTGTGAAATGTTGTAAAATGCGGATAATATAGCCCTGCGAAATTTGCAATTTTCAGTCATTTTGTAGTACAAACGGGAAATTAATGCCCCAACACCCGTTTGGGCTGTCAATTTCCCGTGCGTAATACTGAAAAACTGAAAAACGGCAAACTTCGCAAGGCTATATTATTCGCATTTTACAACATTTCGCAACGAAACTTTGGAATATTTACTAATTTTGTGATGCTCTTTCAAGCTGTGATGAAATTTTTGTCTAGATCAAAATTTAGTCTATAATGCAAATGGTCCATTGATCGATTCGAACATCTAGATATTTTTCTATTTTACTTGTTTAACAGGACAGTTATATGTCTGAATAGGCTCTGCATGTTGTAAGGTTATTAATTTACTCCCGATCTTTCCCAAAATGGATTTTAGAACATTTCATGAGTTATTGTTTAGGGTTAGGTAGATAGATCTGTATAAAGTATAATAATTGAAATTAGTAACATACATCTAATATAGTTGAGTTTATTCGTTAAATTATTTTAAAAACCAACGTTGTCTAAGCCGAGAAAAACAAGCTCGTGAATCATTAATGTATAATTATATGTTACTTCTACAAGTTTTAAGTTTGAGGTGCCTTCTCCAAGTTTATGCATGTTAAGTTCATTTCTTATTTTTTACTTTTGAAATTTCAAATGCAACATATAAATTGACTTTCATGTAGGACAAACGAGGCCTGGCATTAGATGGCAAGCTAAAACACGAAGATACAAATCTGGCATCGTCAACCATGTATGTAAAGACACGTAACTTTTAAGATAGTAGCTTTAATTGTCACTCTATACTGTTTATGTCCAAATGATACGTGTCTATCACGTTCTTGTAAAAAAATATTAAGTGATAAAACCATCATTAGAGGAGGAACATTTGTAGCAATTTTCATAGAATTTACCATTATTTAGCAATACCAATGAACGTTGCATGCACAGCATTGTAAACCAGCTAGTGAACTTTATAAAGAACGTTTGTGCTTACATTTCGCTATAAGTTCGCACTGAAAACGATTTAATTAATAATGTATGAGGGCTTATTTTGTTTCAGCCCTTCTATACTGGGGCTAATTAGAGGGGGGACGGCTAAATAGAGGAAATACGGTAGTAACTACCGTATTTCCTCTATTCAGTCCCCCTTCTAATTAGCCCCCAGTCTAGTACTGAAAGTACTTCAAAGTATTGGTACTTTGAAGTTGCATAAAATTCTGATTTCAAAATAGTGGTACTTTGGAGAATTTCAAAGTGTCACTACTCAGAAATATCCTACCAGTAACAGAAAACGCGTCCAGAACACGTTCTTTATTGCGTTTATTAAATATTTATACGCTAAAGCCTGTTACAGACGGACAAGTTTTTATGTGACAAGTTTTATTCGCCAAGTGCACGTGTGTATATGCAACAAATTTTATATGACAAGCTTTCATATGAAAAATTTTATTTACTGGTGTCAACAAGTTTACTTTGACAATCCCATAAACTCTAAAAATTAGAGAAAATCTATCAGATTTGTTATTCCCAAATCAATCCAACGTAAGGTGTTTATCGCCGCCATGACAGAAAAATTATAATAGTCCGCTGGCCAATCACATCAAATGCTCAGATTACTTTGACATGAGTTTTCTTTCTTGACCCATACAGACGAACAAAATTTGTACTTTGACAATTTTTTCTATGACAAATGCACTTGTTCAAAAGCTAGCATGCTAGCAAATAAAACTTGTCACATAAAAACTTGTCATAGAAAACTTGCTTGTCTGTAACCCAGGCTTAATTGTAGTCGAAACGAAATATAGTCTGATATTGTCGCAAAATGGGCTTTTCAAAAGCATAAAGCGTAAAATTAAATACTAGGCAAATTTAATAATCCACGAATAATTGTTTTTTTGTTTAGCTTGGACTCTAATGTGCCCAAGGAAAATCTAGGAATAATCGTGCAATACAGAGTTAAAATACGACTAATAGTCGCGTATGGAGGGTAAGTATTATAATGATGAAGTTTGATGCATGTTTACGTATTTTAATTCCCAACTGCCTCGTATACCTCTATATAACGAACTGCAGCCGCTATATAACGCTTCAATTATTTACACCTATTATGTAGGTTCTGCATGGATAAGAGGCAGTTCGCCAAAAGAGTTGCTCTGTTGCACAATTCATCAGCTATCAAGTCAAATTACTAATAACATATTTATGGCAAATCTAAAAATTTCTGGGGGTTGGCCTTCGTTTCGATCAAAAGCCCCTTGTCAGGAGAGTTTGTAGGAGAGTCATTATTTCCTTACAATGCTCTCTACGTGCTGGTACATCCACGTACAATGTATAGACAACGTATTACTTAATAATCCTGTCATCTCAATCTTTGATCGTATTAACTTTGTGCTGCATTTTTCAGTTATAATTAGTTATTTACAGCATTCTACAAATAAAATTTAAGTTATGACATAAAAGTTTGATAGCTTGTCTAGCCGATAATGCCAATAGTCAATAGATCATGACCTACCTATACTATACATTTCTGTTAAGAGGTAATTTTGTCTACAGACCTCGCAACTCCTTTTGAGAGTGCGTTACGTAACATACAAAAAATAAATGTTTATGCACTGTTTGATATAGAGATCTTGCAGTTGAACTACCATTTATGTTGACCCATCCTAAACCGGAAGAATCTGAACCCACACCAACATCTTCACAACGTGATGGTACCCAGGACGGAACAGGTAAATTAGTGCATGGTAAATATTTATACTACATTTACTTCAACGAAGTGGAATAGTGTGAACCATTTTTAAGGATTTGCGAAGCAAAATCCTTTATGTCATCGGGTGTGTAAGATAGATAGATAGATAGATAGATTAGGATGGGATGGGATGGGATGGATAGTAACACATTATTGACGTTGAGTTCCGAGTCGAGTATTCGTGAACCGCCGGAAGCTGTTTGTGGTTGTCGTTATTCGCAATCTTTCGGTCAAAAACCCCGATCATTTTCGTAGAATACATCAACGACTAAACATTGTACCACTTACTTTGAGCTAAACGAAGGAATATTTGACTGTTTTTGTGCTAGAAATACAAATGGAAAAGGTCCTAAAAGACAAATTCGTTCAACGCAGGAGCGGAGTTATAAAATAAAATTAAAGCGGTGTTTCCATTATGAAAACTGTATTGTTCCATATTTCAGTGGTATTCATTGGAAATGAATTAGAAATGCAAAGGCCCTGTTACACGGTTCAATTTTTCAATTTGTCTCGCAATGTTTAAAAAAAAATTGATAATGCATTGCAGGAGGTGTTACACGCTGCAATGATTTTCATGCAACTCGCAACGATAGGGGACAGAGGCATGCGAAGAGACTAGGGAGAGGCGCTTTTTGGCGCCAAATTTTAATTAAAGTAAAGCGTGTACTGGGGAGAGCCAATAGGAACTCTCCAAGCTATAAATATTGCGAGACAAGTTGCACGAAGCCATGTTGCACACTACAATGCTAAAAATAATTAGTGCAAGATTTTAGATTTTAACCATTGCAAGGCATGTTAAACGGTGCAATGACTCGTGCAACTTGCTCGCAACGCCATTGCGAGACAAGTTGCATGAAAAATTGCACCGTGTAACAGGGCCTTAATTGCTTGTTGCGGAATGCGGAAACTTCGAAACACGTTTTTTATCCAAACGTTGATAAAATTATCTTCAAGATTTCAACATTTCTACAAATTGAGTTTTTCTTTTATATTTCAGGCAGTGATAAAGCCATTTAAAAATTGTAGTAGATTAACTTTAAATGTGACAGTAATTAAACAAAAGTTGACATTTAAAGAAAAGATTTGTCATGATGTTGTGTTTTGTTATACTAAACTGATATTTTTCCATCTTTCTTGCATTATAAAATTGACAACAAAATTGCAAATCCTTACGCACTCCTTGAGTGCCTATTTTTCTATCTCGTCTACAATTGCCATCGTCGATCTTTCTTACTTCTTGGAAAAAGTCTTAACTATAAAATGCGATGAATGGAAAAGAGGGTTTAATGAGGATGTACATGATGAGGTCAAATCCTAAAATGAATGTTATTTTGTGTCCTATACGCATTAAATATGCAAATGTCTTGAATGAAAAGAAATCATATTGACTGATGCCTGACCCTAAAACAATTGCTGAAAAACTTGCAAGATTATGGGTTGATAGCCCCTGCTTTCACTGTTCGCATTCATACTGAAAATTAAAATCAGACGAGTTTGTACCCTTTTGTTCCAAAGAGCGAGCTTGTACTGAAAATCAAAATCAAGCGAGCTTGTACCCTTTTGTTCTACACGAGATTTGCGTTCTCTTTGATTGCTCACCTATAGGTGATTCTAAAGTGATTGTGATTCTAAAACGTCCATTTCACATTGGTGATTGTGATTCTAAAACGTCCATTTCCGCCCCCAAGGATGCTCACTCGCACGCACAAATCACGTGTAAACTCGCTGTGAATGCTTTCATCTAATTAAAATAAACTGCCGAGCATTGTGCTATTAAGATGAAAGCAGGCACTAGCAGCAAACTTACAAATCGACTAATGCAATGAATGGAAAAGAGAGTTTTAATGAGGATGTACATGATGAGGTCGAATTGTAAAACGAATGTCATTTCGTGCCGTATACACACTAAATATGCAAATGACTGAAAAGACTAAATAACATTGACTGGCGCCTGACCCTAAAACAACCCTGAGCCCAAACAATTACTGAAAAACTCTCAAAGACTATGGGTCAATAATCCATGCTTTCACTGTTCGCATTCATACTGAAAATTAAAATCAAGCGAGCTTGTACCCTTTTGTTCTATAGAGCGAGCTTGTGCTGAAAATCAAGCGAGCTTGTACCCTTTTGTTCTACATGAAATTTTCGTTCTCTTTGATCGCTCACCTATAGGAAATCTGCGTTATCATGTAAACCAAATAACATCACTTAACAGTAGGATAATTTGTTTTATGACGTCTAATCCAGGCTCACGTTCCCTACTGGCGTGTGAACAATTGGCGAATTTTGCTTCACAATGATAGGAAGGGCTACCACAAGTCAATTAGTCCTGTGGTAACTTTTTCATACACCCCTAGCTTAAACTTGTGAAGAATAAGGGATCGATAGGCCATGCTTTCACTGTTTGTATTTATACTGAAAATCAAGTAAGCTTCTACCCTTCTTTCTACATGCTATTTTCGTTCTCATCAATAGTTCACCTGCATAGTACACTTGTTGTCATGTAAACCAAACTGAGTTGCTATTTGTAACTAGAGACTCTAGCCAATCGTGTAATATGTATTCGTCATTTAGGTTTATAATAAAGTGACTTTTCTCTCTCTTTGTAGCCAATGATTCTAACATGGCAGTTGATCACAATCTCATCGATTTTGATACAAGGTAAGAAAATATTTTGCGAATATCAATTAATATGCCTCGCTATCCAAGGGGACTAAATATGCAAAAACCAATATTTATATGAGAGCTGAATATTAAATTTAGTATTAAAAATATGCCATATCAAACATTCTTTTGTCAACTGGTATTTGTGCAGTGCTGCTCTATCAATATTGCAACAACCTGTTTAGCTTTACACCTGACATAATCTACATAATATACAGTATATGTTGTTCAGTTTCCAAACAGTGAAATAAAATATTTTTATGCTTTATACTTTACCATTAAAGAGTGTTAGTTATATATATATATATTAAACATATTTTTTATTGATTATCTTATATCAAAAGATGGATCGGTTAAAACGTTTATTTATTCCGGAATATCGAGAACAATAGTGTGACATGTTCGCTGTCCAGACTGCTGCTCCAGTATCAGGACAATTAGGTTTCATGATCGATATACAGAAAAAATAAAATAAAATTATTAATTCTTTGAAAAATTTCCAATAAAATTTCAGCCCAGTTATTTGCAAAGAAAACCACTGATAGAATATCTTTTCATGTTTGAAATTATTGTGAACTCTAAGCCTTTGTCTGCAAGTATTATACGTATTAATATATTTTACTGAAAATTTTATGAGAATAGCGCCGATACTTGTCCTTATAAATCTAATTATAAATAAATGTAATTAAAAAAATGTAATAAATGTAATTTCGATACTTGTCCTGAAGTATATACGGCCTATTTGTTCTCTTCAACGCAAAAACCACACGATTTAGTCCATTATTTTTACTGATCGACCGATCTTTTAGACAATAATTAGGTATTTGCATTAAAAAGAAACAACTATATAATGTTAATTTCATACTTTTAGTGGCACGGAGAAGCAAGAGGACGACGACGATCTGATTTTTGAAGATTTCGCGAGGATGAGATTAAAGGGCGAACACATGGACACAACAGAAGCTTGATTAACAGCAACGACCCACACAAGGATGCAAAGGATATGTAAACAGTTTTAGATGAATATTATAATTATTAATCTTACACACAACAAGTCAAAGAAATCACTTAAGTTATAACTATTGCCAGCTGACGCTCCATGTGTATAGGACTAATTTACAGTGAAAACCCGCATAAAAGAAGCCTTGCATGTGACTCGCCATAAAATGATAATTTATAATGGGTTTTGTTGAGATATACAATATAAGTATATGGATCTCAGCTAGTCATAAACAATTGCTCTTCGCATAGTTTAACATTTATTAAATTAAACTTTGAAATTCCAGCACAATTACAAAAAAAGAACAAACAAAACTGCCCCTATAGAACGTGCTTTCTGCTTCCACCAAGAAAAAAAGACCCTGACTAGCTCTTCCGTCAGTGTAAAGTTATTGTGGTATTTTGAACGATCGATTCATAAACTGACAAGGCTATATAGTGCCTTTATATAGTGCCTTAATACTGAGCAGCTTTTTTATGCAGGTTAATACTGTATTGTAATAATTTGGGGATGGCATGCATGGACCAGTATTTCCATCAAATGCTATATTATTCACAAGCACACGCACGTCTTCCTCGATGTCATTGCCATATATATATATATATATATATATATATATATATATATATATATATATATATATATATATATATATATATATATATATATATATATATATATATATATATATATATATATATATATATATAAAAAGAGTTGAACCGCGTCACCTAAAGGCGCAGTTGTGATTATTAACTGGCTCTAAATTAATATATTTTAAAACTTTATGAATGATGGAACCTATTAGTAGTAGCATAGTATTTAATTAAATTCACCCTGACAAAACGTTTGCGATATTTTCTCACGTTTAGTGAAAAACTTCGACATGTTTAACTTAAAACGAAACCCCTCCCTCTTCCCCAGCCTTTTCACCGCGGATTGTCACTACGACTTCTAAACAGTGGACTGTATGTGAGTAGTGCCAGGAAGTTGAGGAAAAGAAACTAGAAAAATAGATTCATATTTAATCCCACCACAATGTAAATTACATACCTGTATAATCTATAATAATACAAGCATAGCCTATAATAGAACGAAGGTATAAAAACCCAGAATAAAACTATTCGGGAAATTTAATGTTACTGAAAAAAGTTAAGGATCTGTTTCTGGAGGTTTTAATCAATTTAAACTAATCTTCCTGCCGATGTTAAGTTCTGTAATTCGATTCGCGTATATTTAAAGCATTTATTTGGCTTAACAATAGCGCGAACAAGTATTCCAGTCAAGCCAATTTCCGTATCTGAGAAGTCTTAAATTTTCCATGCATATAGTTATACTTGTAGTCACGTATTTTGGTGACAATATATGGCTTTACAATGAAAGAAGGTGAATTATTGAACAACAATATCACACTTCGCTTCATGGATAGTTACAGCTGTCGTATAAGTCCCGGATTGTAATTAACCCTTCTGGTACGCATAAAACTTCGCGTTTATTGCCCTCTCTCACAAATTATTTATTACCAAAATCTGAGCAATTGGATGGCCACAAGTAACGAGGTTCCTTTGGCTTTCCATATTAGAGACCTTAAACAAGTGGCGTTTTTTAGACCACGGACGAATAACGAACGTAAAACTACATTGACTGCCATTCTTGATTTCAAAAAGGAACTTCTGCCGCCATCACTCCCATCTATAATGGCTTCCGTGTTGTCAAAATCGCTCTCGAAATGAATTTTTCCACATATCTACCAGAATTACCGCATGGATTAAGATGTAGATTGGGGTTAAGATTACAGTATAATATTACCGCTATAGTCTAGCGCAAGCGGATTTGAGACACATGATTAAACTGTTCTTTTAACTTTCATTCACGAGACAGTTTCTCTTCTTTAGGTATTAAATATGTATATGTATAAATATTTAAAAAATGTTTGTTCATGTGTGCCATTTTTCAGTCGCAGTTCGCGTGACATAAATCTGACATTTGAACTAAGATTATTTTCAGGCAAGTCCTGTAATTTGGAAAACGGGTGTGCTTAATGTTATGTAGTTACAAATTAATGACATGTAAGAAATATGTAAATTCGTAGAATCAGTTTAATCATATTAATTGAATTAATTTAAGTGCAATGTAGTTATCAATGAGTGTTAAAAAGCGTTTGTAATAGTGCAGTATATATATATATAATCCAAAAATGTAATAAAATGCGATTCACCAATGTATTTTGTTACAGTAATTATTCATACCGAATTCCTCTATTAAGTCCCCGGGGGCGTATTTTTCAGGGTGTAGAAAGCGGACGGATAAAAGGCGGAAGGTGGACCACGGAGCATTTTATAAACACATGATTACTACCGCAAGTAATTATAATACCCTAAATTAAAGTATACCAGCCTTAGATCTGTGAAATGAATATGTTTTCATCAATTTGAATTTTTAGCAATGGAATTTAATTTAATCAGCATTCAATACATATGTATGATAAGAGACTATTCGCCGTCTTTCGCGTGAAACGTTTGGAAATATTGCAAAAAAGCGCCTTAGTTTTGGTGCTTCTATATATAACTGCCCTAACACTGCCATTGAATTAAAATATTATTGGGGGCTATTACATGACAATCACTTGGTCCATTCATGTGAATGCTTACACATTACTATTCCACTGTATATAATAATAATAATAATGATTTATTGGTAATATATCCACAGAGTGGCTCTTCGCTTACCAAATTATATAAATTATAAAGTATTCATAAAGTCTATAAACTATTTTACGAACATTACTGCAATATAACTTTGAATATATAACGTTTCGACAGGACACATAAATATAAATATAGAACAAAAAAAATGTAGAACGAAATATAAATGTTCAATATAAATGTAGAACGAAATTATAACCTTCCCTAAGCCTTCAAATACATATGATATGATACCCAATATTTACGCTGCACACAAATATACATTTTTCAAACAGCTTGTTACACTGATTACTGTGTGACATTTACATAGTAGATATTATAATATATTATATTATATTTACATAAATATGTCAGGAAAATATCAATAACTCAATACAGTTAAAGAAATGACAAATATATACAATTGTAAATATATACAATTGTGAACGTTTGCATGTCCAAACTTTATAAAAATTCTCTTAAATCACGATCCATAGCCTATACTCAATACCTACTACCTATATACTACTATATGTGCCTAGGAAATAAAACAATCGTTCAAGAGCCTTGAATGACAGAAAAATATCGAGCAGCATTAGTTATTTTTGCTCTACATCAATGACCTACCACAATGTCTCCAAAAAACCACGCCGGGTCTTTATGCTGATGACACGGAAATTTACGCGTCATCATACAATGTAAATGATCTTATTGACAACATAAATTATGACCTAAATATTGTTACGCAATGGATGGAGAATAATAAGCTACAAATTCATCCTAAGAAATCCAAATGTATGTTTATTGCATCCCCTTATAAAATTAAGAATATACCTCAAGGAATACCAATATTAATTAATAATGTTCCTGTCCCAAGATTAAATTGCTACAAATGCCTCGGTGTCACTTTAGACGAAAAATTGAACTGGGAACATCATATTGATATGATTATTAAGAAAGTCAATGCAGGCATTGCAGTAATTAAACGTATGAAAACCTGTGTTCCTCAGGAATTCTTACAAACAGTTTACAACGCCTTAATACAACCCTATTTTGACTACTGCTGTCAATTGTGGGATACCTGTGGAATCGTCCTAAAGGAAAAACTACAAAAATGTCAATCCCGAGCTGCTACAATCGTCCACAAAATATTTGAGACAAACCCCCTCCCCCGATTCCAATGTTGTTAGACACTACAATATAGTTTAATTCCAACATCATATGTTAAATTTCAACTGCCAGTGACACAGCTGCGGTGCTAGTGTCACCTTATGTTCGTTTTGGACAAGTACAGTAGGTCTCAACATTGAAATAAGGGGGGAGGGGATTGATTTAAAAAGTCTCAATATATTTTGTGGACGATTGTCTTAAAAATTGATAAGACTTACTTAATAGCATCTCGAAGTTTTTTTGAAATCACATTGTGTGCATGTGTAGTAGTCACTGTAGATGATACTATTGGGGTTATTGTTCACACGTAGAATAGTACCGTATTGCCAAGTTGACCAGGGGGGGGGGAGATATAAAAGAAATGGGGGAGAGATCCAAGAAATATCACTATATGTTTGGTAGACGATTATATTAGAAATTAAGAAAACTTAGATGGCAGCAGCTCGAAGTTATTTGAAATCATGTTTTGTGCGGCACAATAGCTGTGGGCGGGGGGAGGGAGGGGGGAGGAGAATTTAGTTCCCAGAGGTGTGGGGCAAGGATTAAATATTTAAGGAATTTTTGTGAAGTAATAGAAGCGTCTTACTATTCACTATAATTTGGATAGTATTGTTAGGCCCATACAAAGATCTCTACGTTGTATAATGGTACCATATCAAGTCTTCTTCTGAGCAGGATGGGGTGGGGGGGGGGGGAGGGCTGTCGAGTACATCCTTGGATCGGTCCGTTAAGTTAGAGAATTAACAGTCCTATAACTTCACATGGATTAATAATACTTTAGTTACTCAAGTTAATTAATGGATAATTGAATGTTGATGAAACTATAAGCATTTTTTAATTAATTTTTGATTACTTGGTTGGGTCAAAGTTTTAATTTATTCAAGTTACCATAAACTAATGTTTAATATGGCTTTTGAAATATAAATTACTAAAGCAACGTGTTACCACGCATTGCCACATGGGTTACCATGTACTAATTGTTTTATAATATGGCTTTTCTATTACGAATAGAACACATTACCACGCGTTACCACGCGTTACCATACGCGTTACCATGTACTAATTGTCTATTTGGCTTTTCTATTACTAAAACAATGCATTTCCATGCGTTATCTCGGATAACCATACGCGTTAACGCCTAGTAATTCTACTCATTATGGTATTTTGTTGATAAAGCAACGCGTTACCACGCGTTACCGTCAAGTTTTTAATAAAATGTATATAGTAGTTTTTTAAATAAAAGATGGTAACGCGTGGTAACGCGTGCGCAACTCATGGTAACGCGTTGTTAGTCATTACTTGCATATCGATCTTGTAGTTTTGAACCATTAGAAATGAACTTTTATTGCGGAAGTTTTATTGTAGCAATAATAACTGTTTGATATTAGTGGTAACAAGTATGGTAACGCGTGGTAACGCGTGGTAACGCGTTGTTAAAATTTGAATTTGGAGCGAAAACAGGTAGCCCATTCATATACATTAATTAAACTAATCCGAATGGCTAATTTCCAGTTTGAGAACGAGGTTGTTTACATGTTGGCGTTCTTCTTGAATTTACATAGTACTTTAAAATAGAAAAATCTTGATTTGTGATGGTTGCATGTTATTTATTCTTCATTATCGATATATCTTTTTCGAATCGAAGGCAAGCTTGCGAAGGAACGTTAGATGCCTGTAAGGTATGGATTTTAACTTAACCCGGACAAACTATCGCATAATATAATACTTGTATATCGGCATGTATACTATGTAGTCCAAATATGTTATGCAAATTTTGTTCGTATACATTAACATAAGCGCTGCCAAAGAAAATATTATGCAGTAAATAGCCAAAACCTGTGCTCGATTTTCCCCAATTTTCAGACAATCGTCCACAAAATATTTGAGACAAACCCCCTCCCCCGATTTCAATGTTGTTAGGCACTACAATATAGTTTAATTCCAACATCATATGTTAAATTTCAACTGCCAGTGACACAGCTGCGGTGCTAGTGTCACCTTATGTTCGTTTTGGACAAGTACAGTAGGTCTCAACATTGAAATAAGGAGGGAGGGGATTGATTTAAAAAGTCTCAATATATTTTGTGGACGATTGTCTTAAAAATTTATAAGACTTAGTTAATAGCATCTCGAAGTTTTTTTTGAAATCACATTGTGTGCATGTGTAGTAGTCACTGTAGATGGTACTATTGGGGTTATTGTTCACACGTAGAATAGTACCGTATTGCCAAGTTGACCAGGGGGGGGGGGGGAGATATAAAAGAAATGGGGGAGAGATCCAAGAAATATCACTATATGTTTGGTAGACGATTATAGTATAAATTAAGAAAACTTAGATGACAGCAGCTCGAAGTTATTTGAAATCATGTTATGTGTGGCACAATAGCTGTGGGCGGGGTGAGAGAGGGGGAAGGAGAATTTAGTTCCCAGAGGTGTGGGGGCAAGGATTAAATATTTAAGGATTTTTTGTGAAGTAATAGAAGCGTCTTACTATTCACTATAACTTGGATAGTATTGTTAGGCCCATACAAAGATCTCTACGTTGTATAATGGTATCATATCAAGTCTTCTTCTGAGCAGGATGGGGTGGGGGAGGGCGGTCGAGTACATCCTTGGATCGGTCCGTTAATTTAGAGAATTAACCGTGTTGTAGTTTTGAACCATTAGAAATGAACTTTTATTGCGGAAGTTTTATTGTAGCAATAATAACTGTTTGATATTAGTGGTAACACGTATGGTAACGCGTGGTAACGCGTGGTAACGCGTTGTTAAAATTTGAATTTGGAGCGAAAACAGGTAGCCCATGCATATACATTAATTAAACTAATCTGAATGGCTAATTTCCAGTTTGAGAACGAGGTTGTTTACATGTTGGCATTGTTCTTGAATTTACATGGTACTTTAAAATAAAAAATCTTGATTTGTGATGGTTGCATGATATTCATTCTCCATTATCGATATGTCGTTTTCGAATCGAAGGCAAGCTTGCGAAGGAACGTTAGATGCCGGTAAGGTATGGATTTTAACTTAACTTGGACAAACTATCGCATAATATAATACTTGTATATCGGCATGTATACTATGTAGTCCAAATATGTTATGCAAATTTTGTTCGTATACATTAACATAAGCGCTGCCAAAGAAAATATTATGCAATAAATAGCCAAAACCTGCGCTTGATTTTCCCCAATTTTCAGACAATCGTCCACAAAATATTTGAGACAAACCTCCTCCCCCGATTTCAATGTTGTTAGGCACTACAATATAATTTAATTCCAACATCATATGTTAAATTTCAACTGCCTGTGACACAGCTGCGGTGCTACTGTCACCTTATGTTCGTTTTGGACAAGTACATTAGGTCTCAACATTGAAATAAGGAGGGAGGGGATTGATTTAAAAAGTCTCAATATATTTTGTGGACGATTGTAGAGTAATAACAGGAGCATCTTATGATTAGGTCGGCCGATGTTCTTGCAACTTTGGGGTGGCAAACTCTCGACAATAGGCGAAAATACTTGAAATCCATTTTTATTTACAAAATCTTAAATAATGAAACTGCTCCAAACCTGAAAGAAAATTTTTTGAAAATAAGTGATTGTCCTATTACACACCAATTAAGAAATTCTCAAACAGATCTGGTGAGTTGTTCAAAAGATTAATGAAACTACATTTTTGAAAACCATAAGTATGTAATAATCATGTAAATAGTTTGTATTATGTATATGTATTAGTCTTATTCTTACACGTCCCCTATGGAAACCATCAAAAGATGTTAGGGCTAACGTGTTTAAATAAATTTTTATGTATGTATGTATGTATGTATGTATGTTTAAAAAATTATTGGGCTCAATGAAAATCCACCCCATCAAATGATCCGCCCCTAATACATAATATTTCCAAAATCCAAATATAGAATAGTCGTCGCATGCAAATCGGATGTGAACCAGAGTTACTGTAAAGTAGACCACATCAAGAAACGAAATACGCCCACTTTTCGCTCTTGTCAAATTGGCTCCGCCTTTGCATAAACATTACTTATATCCAATTAGATCTATCCAATAGGAACCGTTAATGTCATGTTTATTTACAGGTTGTATAAAAGAAGGTAAGGGACGGACCATTAGAAAAGTGATGGGGAGGGTGGGGAAAAAACAGAAAAAAAATCCATGCAAACAAAAAAGGTTTGAAAAAAAATACATGCAAACAGACTTGTTTAAAAAAAAATTACAAACAGAACAACAATAGAACTTTAATTTTAAATGTACATCAGACAAAATTGAACTAAATCTTTGGAATATTTCAGAATATAAATATATCAAAATATATAATATATTAATATGCAATTTCTTTCAATATTAACAGTAACTCTTATGTAGTTTTATTATATACTATCAAAATATTTTCTATTGTAATTAATAATTAATTCTCATTCACACTGCCACTGTCCTCAGTGGCGTAACTACTATGGGCTCGGACTGGGAGAATCCGGGGGCCACCAACCCCAATGGGCCCGCAAATGGGGGGCCCCAGGCTCAGGCTATAGAGCAAAAACATTGGCCAAGGGCCTCTGATATGTTACAATGGCGTTTTCTGACCATCAGAATTCTGTAAAATCTCTCCCCAAAGTCCGGGAAATGGTATTTCAGAGAATTTAGATTCAAAAATTTTCCGGGTGAGCATGCTCTGGACCCCTAGAAAACTTGTCCATATATGGTGCTTAAAGATATAATTTTGCAGTGTGTATTAAAGGGATATTTTTTGTCAAGAGAACAGTTTCGTTAACATTTGTATAGTTGTATTGGAAAAAAAATTGCATGCGAGAAGACATATTTAAAAAAAACATGCATACACAGCTGACAACCTGGAAAAAAAATGCAAACAAAAAAAATTTACCCCCCCATCCCCCATCACTTTTCTAATGGTCCGAGCTCTAGGAACTTTAGCTTTTAAAATATCCTTCATCGTCAACTTAGATCTGATCCACTTGCCCCACGAGTTATCGTCAAACGAAGGGATTCCGGCAGCTTGTCGAGTATTTCCGGAACAACAATCGTGGCATACGAACTTTCATCCACTCCCAGGGTTTTCAGACCTCGGTAGTTTGTCTCACAGGCGTGGTACAATTCCCGTAGTCGACGCACATCTCGCTCGTTGTATACTGGTTTATGTTCATAACGCTTGAATATGAGCTCTCTGTATCGCCATTTTCTTCCCATATCGTGTCTTCAGGAGTTCTAATGCTTCTTTATAGTTCGTTGCTGTCAACGTGAACCCTGCGATAGTTGTCTGCGCGGGACCAACCAGTAGACCTTTCAAATACGCGAATTTATCTACCTCGGATAAAGCGTCATTCTGTTACGACTATCAAAGAGTCCCAAAATTCTTGCACTCTCATCTGTCTCCGAATTTCTTTTTCCAGCTGTTGTTCTGCGTCTTCGGCTTCCTATTACTTAGTACTCGACAATCTCGTTTCTAAAAGTTTCAAGGCTTCGAGTTTCTCCTCAGCGTGTCTCTCAGCTGTTTCAGCACATTCTTGTCCGTCTGAGGCGTTTCACTCGTATTCGCTAAACATTCTTTTATCTTCGTCCCTATCTTCGTTGCTAAACCTCTGTGCACTG